TCAACCCAAATCTTGTTACATGAGGCATTCTCAAACACAGAAATAAAACTCCATAATATTTAGAAAAACATCAACCTGAAATATATTGTTATCTTTTCTACACATATGACTCACTTTTCTTCCTAGCTTCTATAGGGAATTTGTAATTTAACTAAAAGTAATGAAATTTGGTGACAAACAACAATTTAGAATATATTTCACTTTTGCACCTTTTAAAAATCTGACAAAAATATGGTAATTTGTTATAAGCAATGGAAAATTAAGTTAAAACATGTCTAGAAAAACTTGCCCTTTTCCTAAATAATACTTGTAAGTACAGAATGAAACAAATACCAAAAATAATGGCACTCTTTAATACTGCTCTTCTGGTAAATCAAATCACAACATGTAAAATATGTGCTGGGCAGGAATTGCTGCGTGTTTAACACAGCTCATGGGAGCACATGAATTTAACCAGTCAGGCAAACACAACTGGTTACTGGGCCTGACACTGCAAAACCAGCCCATCTCCCTCTCTCTCAAAGAGGCCAGCAAGGCACTTCCTCTGAGGGCTGTGTCACAGGGAGGTGTCTTACTCAGACATCCATCACACAGCATCACTGTGTCTCTGTGGGCCTGACAAATTTCTGCTGGTAACAACAACTCTAAAAACTACAGCTAAAAACTATCAACTGGTTTAAAGCTCTTTTCCTTCTCGACCCATATGAGGAACAATCTGCAGGGATCTCTATTCCAGTGATCCCATCCAAGAAGCATTCCCTTCCTAGGCAGCAAAAACCTCACTTTTGGGAAGGGAAACTGTAAAAATTACAAGGTTGTAGGGCTGTGGGGCACAGTCCACAGAGCAGGAGCTGACAACAGTGCTGTGCTTGTAGGCAAGTCTAGCTTTTGTCCTTTCCCAAGCCAAGCCTGCCTTTTTGAAGCCCTGCACAGGTGCTGCCCAAATGAAATGCATCCCTGACCATGCAGGCTGCAGAGTGCTCCCCGAAAGGACAAAAAAAGCAAGGTTGGCTCTCCACGTGCTGCCTGAGAGGATCCACACAAGTGACATTTTCTTGCTGCCCTTTAGAAACACTCCTGAAATGTCAGTTCCTATCAACCTCAACTTCACATATCAATAAAATCCAACAAGCAAGTCAAGGAACAAAGAACATTTACAAGCATTTTTCCATGACACCCATCAACTGAAGAATGTGTCCAGACTTTGAAGTTAATATGCAACTAACCTATTACAGGGACTCTTTATTCACAGCATCCTTAAGAGGATCAGACCCAATACAGCTTAATAAAAAAATCCACAGTGAATTTCAGAAGCGCAATCCAAAACCCTGGCCTGTGATCTTGACTGTGACAGTGACTCACATCAACAGTGGTCCAAGAGTCACTTCCTATATCCTCATTTGCAGCTTGGGATAATGTTCTTCACTGTGCATTGACCAGGATTAACTAGTTAATATGCTTCCACCGAGCTTTTAAGAACCCTTATTTGTTTCCTAAGCATTATTTTAATTCCACAGTATAAGTGAACCACTAGGAAAACACTTAAAAGTTAATTAGCAGCCAGTTGTGGTTTTTTCCAAATAGGTCATACTTGCTATTGGCTCTACAGCAGCTACAGCACTCCCAAGTCTCATAAACAATAAAATCTCCACCCTTTGACAGCAAAAAACCTACACTTAAAATATAATTTTCTCACAGACAAATGCTTAAAAAAAAAAAAAGAGTCAGTTTGACTTCATACCTGTAAGTTTTCTTTGTCACATTTATGAATTAAGGCACACTCTTTCACCACAGATTTCCATACTCTGCACTTTTCTTATGTTTACAGGCCATGTCAAGCCTGTTGCACTCTGTGTGATTGTTCACCCCTCCACACCCCTGGAAGACTCCATCACAACCATAATGGCACTAACATATTAAGGCACAATGAAGAACAGCAGGCAAACAGTGCAAGGATATGTAGGAAATGTCAGTTCCCAGCTATCCTGGGCAGTGGGCAGTAAAGGGCTTCAGCCCTGGCAGCTTCACCTAGAGCAAACTGAATTGTTCAAAACAGAGTGAGGAATAACAGGCTCCCAAACTCTCAGTAACGTCTGTGCCCAGAGACAGAGCCTCCAGCACACAAAATCTATGGCAACAGAACATAGCTGTGACAATGGAAGCAAATACATTGTAGAGATAAGCAAAGCTGACCTGAAATTGTAGAACTGTTCTTTTTCAGTGAACTATCAAGCTGTCATATTAACGACTCAACCTTATTTCTCTGCTCCTTTAAAGAGGAATATCCATCACTATTAACTCTATTGCAGCAGTACCTCAGGACCCCAGAGCAGCTCTGGGTCCCACCATAATAGGTATTATCTTAACAAAAAATTACTGAAGCTTGGTATAAACAGGAATGAATAATAAGGATTGTATCAGCCAAGGAAGAGTTCATCTTCCAAAGTCTCTGTGGATGCCATTGCACACAGCTTGCACTAGAACAATGTGTATTTTCTCCTTTCTGTGTCTGTAGCTGAATCACCCTTTGTTTCTGCGGCTCATGAAGATCTCCCGTAAAAGTGCAACAGCAGGAGAGTTACCTACAAACATATAAACTGAAAGAAGAAAAATATTATATGTGGCTACTTGCAGACGTCTTAAGAGTTAAAAATTGTGATTGAAATATTTTTGGAAAAAAAGACTAAGTCTAGAGTTTCAAAGTGCTTATTCAAGAAAGGGGATGAGTTCACTTTTACTTCCCTTAGGTCTGCCTTGGCACATGCCAGGAAGGTGAGCATGGTACACACACCTCTGCTTAACTGCTGGAGACAGCTCACTCCTTGTGGGATTCACCAAATTTCCATTTAGCAGCTCCCTACCTTGTATCTGTCCATAGGATCTTCCTGCTGCAGCTGGCTCTCTCGCATTGTTTGGTACTCTCTCTCATATTTCTTCAGCTTTTTCGTTGGCACCTGTGGAACAGATTTGGGAAACATGCATTTAAAAATGAGAGGAACGCTGGAAAAGCTGACTGAAAGCTCTCCCTACGAACAGGAAACTGAGGAAGTGCTGCAAAGCTGCTGCTGAATAAAGTCTCTCCCCACTGTCCCCCCTCCTCTACTCATTAAGCCATGTCAAACACTTACCAATACAGCTCACATCGACTGAAATCTTTCTGTGCCCACTGCTGCTAATTATTCAGACATTTAAAGGGAAACAAAAGTGGAGACATTTAAATAAGACTAACAAGAAGACAAAAAGCACAGACAAGTGGGAGAACAGGAAAGAGGAAAACACATTTTGATACATATGATTCACCAAAACAATGCTTTAGCAAGACAACTGTTAAAAGTGAGATGAGAACAAAGGAGTGCTCATACAAAAGGACCAGACAATTCCCTGGGGGAGATCCAAGTAATGGTTTTATTGCTGAGAGAGTATTAATGTCTAAATTACAGCCTGTGACCAATGCCCTCATGAAGTCTGGCATCAGAGCCCTCCTAGGCACAGATGGAGATGCTGCAGTGCAAGTGAGTGGAGAGGTGGCTTGGAGAAATCACAAACAAATTTGGTAAACAGCCATGCGGAAAGGTCAAAACCCAGGCTGCTTGATCCTGGGAATGCTTCCACTTCAAACACTGATCAGAAGGAGCCTGTGTTCTTTTCAACAAAGCATGGGGAGCCTCTGCTTTCCCTTCACCTTTTGGTTGGGAATGCAGTGCTCCCATCTCTCCCTGGAGAGCTCTGACAGCATTACTCAGGTCACTTGCTGGCAGCTGGAGAGCTCCCTAACACCACATACACCAGGAGTATGAACACAGCCTGTCCCTTGATCTGTCACGCAGATACTCCTATTGCCTCTACTGATCATGTTCAGCTGCCTCCAGCTGTGAGGACAGGCCACTGCCACCTTGCCTTAGGGCAAAAACTACTGCCAGTGAGCAGAGATACGAGGAGCTGTTTTCTCTTTACTGGTCTTCAGCCCAAAGCGTCTTTGCTCTGCAGCACCCAAAGGAACCAAGCAAGTGCTCAGTGTTGCTGCAGAGGGAGGTGGAAGTAGTAAATATGAAAGCCATGATCTGCAAATCATTAATGAAGCAGCAGCAATTCCTACAATTACTGATGGAACCTGAAATCAACCCCCCTTAAAGCAAACAAAGAGAAAACAGTAAAGATAAAAACATGAAGTACATTGGGCAAACATACAAGAAAATTTCACTTTGATGACACTTAATAGGGCAAAACACCATTAAATGAAAGTGACTAACTGCGAGATGCTTTTATAAAAAAGCAGCTGAAACAGCTGAATAATCCTCCTAACACAAACGCAGCCAGCTTTGTCTTGGCTGCAGCCTGAAATTATTGAGGCTATTTAATAATCATTAGAATTAATTTCAGGATAGTGTTTTAAATGAAATAAACCCATCACACGTCCAAAGCCTGATCCACCCCCTCCTTTCTCACAATTACTGGACTTTCATTTAGAGAACCAGATCAAGGCTCCCTGGCTGGGTGTGATAAGGAAACCCTCCAAACACAGTTCTCAGGTTCTGCTGGGGAGTTTTGTGCTCCACTATGCAGCCACCAGGAAATAAATACAAGGGAGATTTCATGGTGCAGCACGGCAAAAAGGCACAACACAGCTGTAACTTAGATGATGATCTGTTCAACCAAAGATTTTCCTGATTCTTGATGCTTTTCGTTGAAACCTTTAAAATGCATATAAGGACTAAGTTTCACTACACAGGAAGACAGACAAGACTCCTGTTCACACAGCCACGTGAGACCTTCAGAGAGAATCCTGCCATCGGAAGGAACAAGAGATGTAAGATAGATTTTGTGTCTGTAAATTTGTGTTGTAAGTTTGTGTGTCTGTAAATAGGGAGATAAGGGTGGAAAGTAGAGGTAAAAATTGCACAGTCACAACCCTTTACCCCCCTATTCTTATGTGAACAGTGCTGCTCACCTTAGCCTGGCACTGGGTGTTGGGGGCTTCCTCCTCTCACAACTATCAACCATTTCTTAATTCCTTGCTAATTTATTCCATAATTCATTCCACTCTTATCTATATGCTCTCCTTACTTGCTTGTATTTCAATTCACAGCTGTGAGCAGGACCACGTGTGGCTCCTCTGGGGCCTTGGAGGCATCAGCTCCCTTGTTCAGCACCACAGGAGCCATCCACGGCCGTGGCCTGGGCTGAGGGATGGCCTCTCCAGCAAGGGAACAGCACAGCAACACTTTCTTAGGAATGCTGACAGTAAATAATACCTGAAACAAGCATCAGATTGTGCATGCATCAGGTTTGACATAGAAAACAGCTTCCAGCTCTCTGAAAGATGATAGTGACTGCTGCATGTTGGTATCTATTTATGCTACAAATCTTGTCTTGACTGGGAAGTACCTAAATACAGTGAAAATCTATCTTAAGGGGAACTCCTACCAGAAACCAGTCCATACTAACCCACTTCTCTTGTAACATAGAAACTGGAGCAAGTATGCCCAAGAACTTTTGCAGGGACTACACTTCACTGCTACTGTCTATTTAGCCACATTTCTCAAAGGAGTTTGATAATTTATTACAGCACTTTCTTCTTCTGAGTATACACTAATAAATGGAAAAAAAATTTAAAAGCCCATTTTCATATTTCCTAATTTAATTTCCTGAAACAGTGTGTGAATTCAACAAGGGATTTCTCAGTAAGCATTTCCATAAGTAAGTGCATAGTGCTAGCCATGCTTCAGTCTTCACAAACTGATCACAAAGTGCTCATAAATTCTCTGTAAAAGCTTCTGCAATATCGATTCCTTTTTTCTTTCTTTAGCACCATGGGGTATATTAGCTTGAACTGATGGTTATCAAATTTAGGAGACTCTTACGGTGTATAAACATTCCTCATCATAGTTTATCTCAATATCTTATCTCATTGAGTTGCTTTACTTTATTGCCTTCACGTATAAAATCATGTTATAAGTAGTTATATGTAGGGAAACACCCATGCAGAGCATCTTAATAAAACACCCACACAGAAGAACTGAACAAGCAAAACCTCTTTTTGAAAAAACCCAATGGCACCAAATGCTTGAAGGAAGCATCATGGAAGAGAAAGAAAACCACTTTGGTTTTAGCAGCCCCTGTTCAGACAGGGCTGAAGAGATTTGCTTCACTTCCTTGGGCAGTCCTGGGCATGGACAGTGTACACCAGCGCCTGCTCAGCTTCAGGAGACTCTCCCCTCATTCTGTGATTTCTTCAGCTGTTTACAGGCAGCTCAGCCTGACCTTGCTGGATTCATAAATCACACCTCTGATTCCTTCCTCCCAAATGTTTTATTGCTCTAATGCAGCCGGAGCACTCAGAGGAGACAGTTATCGCTGTGCTCATTTGACAGCCAAGGAAATGGAAGCAGAGATGGGAAGTGATTTCCTGAACATACTGCAGACAGCCAGAGGCTGATCCAGACAGTGAAATCCTATTACTTGATTTCTGATTTCCAGCACCACCACAATGCCAAGCTAAGCAGGGGATCCTTTTCCCAGCTCCCCACTTCCTTTCTCTATCTAGCACTGCATTAACACTACAAAAATACATTGTCCCACCACACTAACAATGTAGCCAGTATTCTCTAATCTCGTCACTCTTAACACTTTGTCCTCTCTAGTTCTTGTCTCAATGTGAAAGAAAAGAAATAAAAAAGGAAAGAAAAAAGCCAATTAAGAAAGCGTGCAGTGATCCCTTTCTCATTCTTTGAAGCAAGTGACATAATTTTGTGCTTCACTGGTTGCTTGGTAATTCCAAGCTGAGGTGGGGTCCTGCACCCCTGCAAAGGGGAGCGCTGACAGTGACACAGACACTGGTGCAGCCCAGCTTCTCTTTTGTCCATCCCCACACACCTGCCCTGCTGTGATGCCCAACACAAGCCCAGGCTCTTCCCCTGCTGGGGCCAGCTCAGCCCCTGCTCACAAGTACCAGGTGAAAAAGGCTCTCACAAAACCACAGGACGAGTGCCCCTCCTGAGGAGATGGGAATTCCACTTTTGTGTACTTCATTTTCTTCACCTTATGATTTAAAACAGTATCAGAAGAAACTGCACAATGAGGCTTGGTTCTGTGAGTGTCGAGTGAAGACTGAGCTTTAAACAGAAGCTCAGCAGATTAGCAATAAAAAATTTCCAATCACACACATCATCTTAGTTCACACTCAAAATTGTGCCATTTTGTTCCACTTAATACTTTACATTTGAAATACAACTACATCAAATTACAGGAAGGAAGCAGCTCTTTTTTAAGGAAAACAGCTCTACTTAAGTACTTTATTAAGTCAAATGAAGGTTGCAGTGTAACAAAATTAGATTTAAAAAACTGACTTGGTACTACTCGTCTGTGCAGTCATAACTATGGGCAACTGGTTGGCCAAAAGCAATGCAGAATATCCTGCCATATCTGTCTAGGAATAAGGCTCAGAAGTAGATAAAGCCATTTGTTTTTCTCCTGGGAGGAGGCAGTAATGAAAAAGGAAGAACAAACCCCACAGTTCTATGCTGACACAACAGACTTTCTCCTGGATTGGACTTAAAAGGGGGTGAATGGGACATTGCACTTAGCTATTATGCAGTATAATCTGAACAATCGTGCCTCCAATGAGATCTTAGCCACAAGCATGAAATCTGAAAAGGGAAATTTAATTTCTCACAGAACTCTTTTTGGGATGGGTATTCTGCACAGAAAACCTACAACATCCATTTGTAAAAATTAATGTAGGATTAACATCAGCTGCCTAAAAAGAAATTCCAGGCCAGAGCACAGCTTGAAGAATTCCCAACACCACAAAGGGAAGGGCTCACTGGCAACAGGCTGTTTTACCACCAGTCTGAAAGCCTTGGAGGAGCCCTCCTCCAGTGTTTTCACCATGCTACAGTATCCCATTCATCCCACACATCCTGCATTCAATCCCACACTGTAAAGCTCATTTAGCACCATCTGATCCCTGGTTTTTGGGGCACAATAAAAGCCCCAGCTGTCAGATGCTATTTTACCATCTAAGCCGCAAGGAAGGAGTTGTTCCCTGAAACTTCTTGGAGAGATGTCCTGCTGAATGCATGCCTGAGCATCTGCTGCACAGCAGCATCTCTCCACCTCGTGTTTGGAAACAGAACTGAGAGAAATGCTCTTTTTGTATCAGCAAAACAGCTCCACCCCAGCACACCTGAGTATCCCTTCCATGCAGAGGGAGATTATTCTTCTTGCTGCAAGTCACCTCCTTGCCAACTCTGTACGTTTAAGAATTCCTGAAGAGTCTTCAGGATTACAGAAAGCCAACCTGAAAGCCACCTGAAGGCAAAGGAAACCAACATTGCTGTGAATTTTGCTTAATTTCTCTGCATTAGTCCATTATCAAAATGTCACAACTGCAATGGCACATTCAAAGGAATTTATAGAGATGAGAAAGGCAGGCTGCAAAATTTACAGAGCACCTGCACAATTAACTGTGATCCAAGCCAGCAGCAGCAGAGTCAGCGATGCTGGATCATTTCCAACACCAGATCCTTTAGTCAGATTTTAATCTCCCTAATGTATTTCCCTTCATGAAAATCCACTGAACCAGCTATAGCCCATTATTCTTCTGCAGCCCTGCTGTTTAAAGATCTGCTTAGTTAGGCTCAGTTAGCAAAACATTTAACTAAGAGTAAGCTGAGACAGAGAGATGTTCAATAAGCCCCATTGTGCAGCAATCCTGCAGCAACACAGGAAAAGAGAATGGAATTTGGATTCCCTGGATTGTAACTCTAAACCCCAACGTGTACTTTCACACTGACCACAGTGCTTGTGTTTGAGAGGCTGCAGGGGAACCTGCATCTATGAAAAAGGGCCAAGGAAAGGATGTTTTGCCTGTGGCAGATGCTTTTCAGAATCTCAAAATGTCTTTCTGCCATCAAAAACTCATTTTCACTTTGACACATGGAAGGTTTATTATCCACTTCCATTCTCTTTGTTTTAGTAAAGAAGAGATGCCCTGAGTGGCTGGAAAGGAGTGCTTGGAAATGGCTGATTATTTTCTGCACTTGCAGCTGATGTCTCACGGCTCCCCCAGACACAAGTGCTTCCTTCTGCACAGCTGAGGGCTGCAGAGCTAAATGGAACTACTTGTGCATGCCACAGCCACAGTGAGGATGGGTAACTGGGAGAGAGATGCTGCCCAGCCATCTAAGCCAAGGCTCTGCTCTGGGTAACACACTTCCTAGGAGCAGCAGCTGTTTTTCCAGCACAGGATTTATTCATCAGTTTGTACCTCATAAACATAACAGCTCCAGGTGGTTCTGTGCCTTACATACACACCCCTTTTGATATACAGCATTTGATGCTGAAGGTTTTATGTCTCCTGGGTGACTGTGTGAATTCCAACTTTTAGCTCTCCCCACCAGAGGTACACAATTCATTCTGATTGAGTTCTAACCCGTGTCCACCACAATTCCAGAGCTTTGGTCACATTTCTTAGCACATCACAGCAAGAGAGCAGCAAGCAGGAAGACACACATGGCCTTCACCACCATCCCCGTGGCAACAGAATCAGACATGCAGGAGAAAGAACCAAGGAATTTTCTCACATCACAGAGCAGGAAAGCCTCTCCCAGCTACATGGTGTAAGGGTTCACTTCCAGCTTTGTTTATTCTGGAACTAACACAGACCTACAACACAACTGCCAACACAAGGCCAGAAACTTATCAGTCCCAAGGTTCAAACCAATGGTTTTACCAAGGCTTTACGGTAAAACCCATCTCATTCACCATATTTTATATTATACTAGATATTAATACAGAATATTAAAATAATTAATAAAGCTCTATACAATCTATAAGCTCTATACCATCTATAATTTATACAATCTATAATTACAAGCTCTACAATCTGCTTTGTAATACCCAATACATTTTATCTGCATTTCAGCACCTAACACAGCTTCATTCTCTAAAAGTCTTGCCTTTTTTCTGCTTATCCAGCTCCATAAACAAAATTGTTAATACACTAAAAAAAGCCACACATTAAATGATCAGCATTTTGAAAACACAAGTGGGGCAGTGTCCAACTCTAAGGCATCAGCAAGGCTCAGTGAAGCCTGGCACAGCCTTCCAGTGCAACAACCAATCCATGCCCTGCTCCCTTATCTCACTGATCCTTCATCTGCCAAGAAGGCTCCCTCTACACCTTGAATGAGGCTTCAGGTTTTCTCTTATGTTGCATCTTTCAGCCTCTGGACCTGCAGGATGACTTGGCATGGAGCTGGCAGGGGGGTGGAGGAAGGGCAGGGCCATTTAAAATCACTTTTTGGCCATTGATGTGGTTTGAGCAGCTGCCTGGAAGTATCCATGAGGATGGGACTGCAAAGCTGCACAGCCCATCAACACCCAAAGATACAAAGGAGCTGTTCCACTTCCCAAACCTGTACAAGGCTGTTTTGTTGTGGTTTTTTTTTTTTTTTTTTTTTTTTTTTAAAACCTGCTGCTGCTTTCCCTGCCCCAGCTATGGTTCTACCACCACTACCACATGCCACAGAACTGTGCTCATCCATCACGTTTAGCTGAGAGCCTGCCAGGCTCACCAATTACCAATGCACTCCAGACCTGCCACTTCATCACCCAGCACAGAACATCCCAACAGCATCTTTAGTACTGACAGAAGCAAGGAGTTTGTCAGGCAGCAGGGGCTGAAAGAAAAAGATGAAATGTGTCCATGCTGCCAAATTCAGCAGGAAAGCCAAGCTGCTGCCACTGACAGGAGCCCTGCAAGGGAAAGAGCTCCCACAGGGAGAGCAGACACGTCCTTTGGGAAACAAAGCCAGCAAATTACCAGCAATACCTGGCTGCCACGATTTTAACCCTCTGCTACCAGCAGCAGCAGAGAAGCAGCAAGCCATCTTTTCTTCCCCTGAACTCTCTGTCCTAGTGCTGTCTATTCCTTATTCCTCTGGCCATGCAAAGAATGAGACCTTTGGTTCTGAGATAAGTGGATTCTTGTTATCCTGTTCCAGTGTTGCCTGACCTGCTCTGAAGTTCAGCCTGGACAAGCTGTGCGCTCATTCTTGCCCATGCACTGTGGTCTCCAAGGTAACAGACAAATATTCACAATATCTTACTTATGCCTTGATATCCTAACTTGGAATCACTTTGGCAACTCTGCCTTAAAGCAAAAGCACAGCACTGTGCACACAGAGCATTGCCTTGGCACAGCTGACACGCTGCTCTAAATCAAACAAAAATTAAAAAATCTGAATCAAAAATCTGGATTTTTCTAGAAACCCATAGCTTTACAACATCAGCAAACCAGCACAACCAGCACTCCAGTCAACACAGATAGCTGATTTGTGGGGAGCTCATGTTGACACAGGTAGAAGGAAGCAATAAATAAAAAAATACATTACACTGTCCATGAAAGCACAAACCCAACAGGATAAAACCCACTGAAATACATTTTCCAGTCTCAGCACAAAGTAAGCCAAATTCTTCTGAGAATTGGGTTAGAAAAGAAACTAGTTGCAGACATTGAAGACAGAATATTTGTAACTAATATTTACCTGCATCTTCTAGTAATTAGGAAAATGGACTATTATGAAGAGCTAAAATTGCCTTTTCATCTCATTTCAGCACTCCTTTCAAAGTCCATGAACATACTTGCCACACATAAGCAAAAACATCCAGAAACTTATTTCAAATTTCTTCCCCCAAATGGGCTTGTAATGATGAAAGAAACAAGCTGTTTCTCCAGTGCCCAGAAACACTTGTATTGATTTCACTGATTTTTTTTAAGAAGAAAATGAGGAAGCTTCAGAACATTGATGCCCTTCTTTTGAATTTTTCAAAATCCTATTGCTATTTATGAAATGTGTATTTGGGACATTGCTTAAATAATTCTTTCTTGATCCAATGACAATAAAAAGGCAGCAAGAAGAAATGCGTTCAGGTACGAAGAGAAAATAAACAGAAAATAATACAGGTTATTATTTGGGAACATTTTAAACAGTAACTCAAACTAAACGAAGAAAAAAAAGTTCAAATTCTTCTTTGAATTCCATTAGGCTGGATGGTATTCTAGATGATATAGGAAAGAAGAGGATTTTTCAGTGTAGATCAAATGCATTAAAGAATACAGCTCAAAAATAATTATGATTCAGATGAGTCACAAAGGTCCAGAAAAGAGCTCAGCTCTAACCAGTCTGCAGGTTTTTTATGCAGAGCAGAAGTACTGACAGAACAAGCAGAAGAGATACCTGGCCCACTTTTTTTTTTTATAGTAAATACTTAAAGCAGTAAAGATTCTCTTAACCAAAATTCCTGTATGGAAATAAAATTTAAGCACCACAAATCAACCCATCTGGATGACTTTGGCTGGCAAGATGAAACCAAGAACCCACACAAATGCTCTGCAGAGCTGATAAGGATCTGGCTAAAAAAACTGGTTCCATGCCAACACCACGTTATAAACTCTAGGACCCATTTTTCTCTTTATCTACAGATCTGCCTGCCTACATTGGAAAAACAGAAGCCTGCCAAGGTGGGAACCTCCCTTGGAATGGAAAACGTGACCCACTTCCCTATGAATTATTATAACTCTGAAATTACGGGGCTTTCATATCGTAAAATCAGGTGACCCTCAGGGAGAAGAAATGATGATGTCTGGCTCCAGATCAGAAGATTGAAGGATAGTTTTATTAAAACTACACTATATTACATTAATATACTATTTAAAGAGATACTGCATGATTCTACATACTTCTTACCTATCTAACTAACTAAAAATCTCATGACTCTCTGCTAAGAGTCCGAGCCACAGCTGGATCCCACTGGTCACTGACCCCAAAAAACCTTCACCAGAATCCAACCCAGCCATCACTGCAGGTAAACAATCTCCACACCACATTCCACATGGAGAAAGCAAAGGAGCAGAGATAAAGATTGTTTTCTCTTCTTCTCCCTGTGCTTCTCCTGAGAGACAGAATTATGTCTCTCTGTCCAGAGAATGTGAATATCACGCTTTCAGGCAAAGATATGGAAGGGGAATAAGAGTTCTTTGCTAGAATACATATATATAATATATATATGGCAGGCACAGCAGCATAAAGAGATGGAAAATAGGCGTCCTTGGCAAACTCATGGCAGGCAGGTGCTGGTGCCCCTCCAGATGGTGAAATGGGCTCTAGCAGGGACCTCAGAGCAGTGGCTGGAATCACAGAGGCAGGCACACCTGGGGTGACAAACAATGTGTAGCAAAATCTCCAGAGCCATGCCAGGAGCTGCAGGGTGTCCAGGCAGGCAAGGGGTGTCGGGTAAAAGTCTAGCAAAAAACCCAAAGCAGCTCAGAAAACGGCAGGGCTGAAACAACCCAAGGTATAAAGGCAGAGCAGCCATTTTGTACACAAGCTCGTGGCTGCCAGGTCACCTATTCCCAGTGCACGCTGTCCTTTTTCCTTATTCTGTCCTTTTTCCTTATTCACTTCTTTGTTGTGTTTTGTTGAGATTTTTCATAAACCTTTGAAATTTTTAAAAGTGAGCGTCGCTTCTCACACAGTGAAGAACAGAAGCACTCGGCAGTGGCGGCGAATCCTCTGGGCAACATTAATCCTGACACACCGGTCCCACTCTGGTCCTGAGAGTGAGAGAGAGCTCAGAGCTGAGCCCCTCACCCCCAGCCAAGGTCTCATGGCACCTCTGCACTTCCCAAAGCCCCCAGCTCACAGACAGTAGCAAACTGCACCCTCCTTCCTTCTCCTCCTCCCAACCACATCTTTTGTCTCTCTAAATATCTAAGTATCATCTCTTAGGTAAGAAATGAGAGAAAATTCCCCAAGAGAAAGGAAAAAAAAAGGAAAAATCCTAACCTCCAACTCTGATAAAAGTAACTTCACAGTTGTAAGAGTCTTCTCTAGCACTTCACTACCACATGAGGGATTTATTTTCTCAAAACCCAGACCCTCCAAGGAGTATCCAACCACAAAGCATGAATTAAAAATGCTGGAAATGGGTCAAAAAGCCATTGTGAAAGGGAATCATTATCCAGTGACATCTTTCATTTTTGGTCAATGACATTCTGGGCCTCATCAAAGATCCAGCGCTATCAAACACTGCATCAGCAGCCTGCAAATGAAAGATACAATCCAACTAACAGAATTTGCAAACAAAACACAGGAAGAAAGAACAGTGCAGAAGAAGAACAAGAAATCATACACCTACATTTGAATTCCTGGAAGCAGCTTCCTCTACTGAAGCACACCCCTGTGGACTTGGCTAAGGACTTGGCTAAGCTTGGAGCTGGCAACCCCATGAGCAGATGGGAAGGACAGAAGATGGGGTAATGTCGGAACTCAAAATATCCTTCAGACATTTTTGGAGTTCCGGGTCCAGGTCAGAAGCATTTGAGACCCTGGCAGGCAGCTGGAAACAGCTGTGTTTTTGGATTTGAACCATGGAATGATTTACCAACCTTGCAGGAAGAACAAGAAGTCACAAAAGTTTAAGATGTTATAGTAGAAGTAGTCACAAAGTAGAGGGAAGAATTTTTGAGTGCTGTACAGGGGGGTTTTAGGTCTTGTACATGGGGAGTCAGGAGTTTTAAGATGGAGGGATTTGGGCCTGTCCTGTCCTCCCTCTTTCTTCTTCCTTACCTCCATGTTCTTGGTGATCTTGGCACTCACAGATTGGTTTAGAGTAGAAAGGCACCATTTAATATAGGTATTAGGCATTGGGGAAAACTATGAACATCTAACATGTAATGTACCATATAAAAGACAGCAGCAGCCCTGGGCGGGGAGAGAAGAAGCAGTTGGGAGTCAGAGAGGATGTCAGGGTGTGTGTGTGCCTCTGCCTGAGCTGCTGAGCAAACCACAGCAGCCCGAGAAGAAAATCTTTTAGATAACTTGTAATAAATTGCCTTGAGACTGAACAACAAGAGACTGCTGAGCCTTTCTTTGGAAGCACGGCTTGGAGGAGAGACTTTTCCACCCACGGAGCCACCCCCGACCTAGGGGTGAACTCTGGCAGGGTAATGGGAGGCACATGCTGGGAAGGCAGTGTGCCATCATCTGGGCAAGACCTAGATCTTCCTCCACAGCCCTTTCCCTCTGGCCTCACTGTTGGGTGGCAAGCTGACCAAAATAAACCTGCAAAAAATTTCAGTTTAACTGTTTTGAAAATGTTCATTGCACCGATACTGATAGTTCAGCCCAACAAGCAGCTGTATTGGCAGTGCTCAGGAGGACAGAGAGCAGTGTGGGAATGGGAACAAACACTGCTACAGAGAAGGGAGGAAATAAAAGACCACCTTACTGCCAAAAATGCAACTCTACTGTCAGAGCCAGGCTGCAGCAGAGAGGCTGATGTGAGCCCTGGGATGCACAAGGATAGAGGAAAGGAAGCTGACCAGGGAAGGTCAACCCTAGACTGTCACTGAGACCAAAACCGTAACACTGCTTCTTGTCCTGGGAGATGCACTTGGGGAAAACACTGAAGGGGATGTAGAGCAGAGCCCCTGAACTGCTCGGGCAGAGTGTAAATGCCTCACAGTGACAGCTCAAAATCCTCAGCACAAGGGAGCTGCTCCAAAGACAAGGCAAGAGAATTGGGACAGAATCTGGCAGCTCCTGCCCACAGAGGAGGGAGGGATGAGGTGGGGACAGGTCCTCAAGAAAGCCTGAAAGCAGGAGCCCTGCTTGTGCTGGAAAGGAAAGGGTTCATATGAGGATTGGATCTGTGGAAAACACCAACGGCCATAACAGTGACCACACAAACTTCCTTCCTCCTCTGGAAGCAGCTCCAGCCTCAGGATGCCAAGGAAAGATGGGCTTCAAAAGCTCAGGTGCTGCCAGGGACTCTGTCCTGCAAGACTCCACACAGGCAGAATTAGAGACTCAAGGAAAAACAGAGATTGGAAGGGCTCCATGGGGCACATGGACCAAGCTCCTGCTCAGGCAGGGGCAGGTTCAAAGCCAGAGCATGCTGCATGCTGCTCCTGAAGGCCTCCGAGGACGGAGATGCCAGGGTCTCCCTGGACAGAAATGCTTTCCCTGGTGCTGAGCCAGAGCTGCCTCTGCTGCAAATTTCAACCATTTGTCATAATACAATGTCCTGTCACTCTGTGCCCCGGAGTTTGGCTCTCTGCTTTCTATGAACTTCTTTTAGGTGGCCAGAGACTGCAATTAGATCCCTCCTGAGCTTTCTCCTCCTCAGGCTAAGATGCTCCAATTCTCCCATCCTTCTCCATGCAGTCAGACCCTGCCTTCCCATCAGCCTTCCTCTCCACTTGCTTTAGCCTGTGAACATCCCTGGTCTCTGTGGGCTCGGGAGGATTCAGGGAGAGACAGATTTCACTGGCACTGTCTGTGCACAGCCAGCCTTGGGCACTGCAGGGCACAGGTTACCCACCACAGCTCCCAGCTGGCACTCATGCTGTCCAGAGAATTTAGTCCCCATCCTGCAGATGATGGAGTGTTCATCCTACTCATTTGCCTTTGCACTTGCTGAACCTCAGCAAGCTCCTCTCAGCCCAGCACCTACCCTCCAGTTTCTGCCCCCTGTAAAACAGGGTGCATCCTCTTCTGCTGTCTTGGCCTGAAGATGTTAAACACAGCCCCACTATCAACCCCCAAATATGTCAGACTTCAACCCATGGATGACTATGTACTGCACTTCTCCCAGGCCTCCCAAGTCTTTCACCCGCTTTGCTGTTCACCCACCCCTCTAAACCTCCTCAGTTCAGCTTTGACGAGAAGCTGAGAGCTTAAAATTCCTTATGGCAGGGTCTGCCAGTGTGCAACCACAAATTCTTTCTATGAAATGGCTAATAATTCCCCTGAAGAGAGAGCTAAACACAGCAAGGCAGGCAGGAAAATGGAAATACAATGAAGCTTTCCACAAGAATGTCCTTCAGCTCTGGATTAAGAGGATTATACCACTTAGAATAGTATTTTTATAACCCCTTGAGTCCAAGTTTTCTGCAGATAAACTGAGAATTGGAATTCCCCACAGTAAAGCTGCTCAATTCTTGCACAAACTACACAGCAGCCCACTGATATATGCTGCTCTCCCTGTCTGTGCAATGTCATTTCAGAAGCAGTTGAAATTCTGAAAGCAAGACCTCACAGCAGAACAACTGCATTTCATGGTGACACTGCAATATGACTAATTTTATTATAATATATGTTGGGAGATTGCTATTACACAGTGTAGCTTTGAAAGATATTTAACAAAACCTTATCTCAGATCATCCACATCCTGTTCAATTGTTTAAGAGCATCAGAACAACATAAAAAAAATACTGCTATGCTTTCCAGTGAAAAATACAGCCAGAAGGGATGGCCACAGATAATTGAGATGGATACAGAGGATGGTGGCTAACAACAGATCATTCTGACTGTGCCCAAGTTCATGCCTGTATGGCACTGGCTGTGTCAGAAGGTCACACAGGGCTGGCCTAAAGCACAAGGAATGTGCACAGCTCTCACCTGGCCTGGTTTGCTTTCAGCATTAACCCTTTGTCACCTCATGTGACATGTGGTTCTCTGTGCAGGAGAGACTCCTGTGCACCACCCCAGCACATTGCACAGCCCAAAGGAACTACAGTGAGTTACTTGCAATGCCAGAAACCTTCCAACTCCCAGCCATAGAATGGAAGTCTTTACAGAACTTTGTTTCTTAAACTATTCTCTGCAGCCTGAGCATGTAATAGGAAAGCTTTTCAAAATAACTGAAACTGCATTTTGCAAACCCAGCAGATGAATCCCAGATTGCAACATACCTGTGCTATTAATATGAAGTCTTAAAATAAACAAAATGTTCACTTCCTGCAGAAAGTCCCTTTGTGTACAGAACACACCTTTTGCAAGATGGTGAAGTGATCATAAGAGAGTCAACACAATTTGCCCCAACTTATCCCGATTGC